ACAGCCCAGCCAACGCGAAGCAGCCCACAGCCGGGCGTGTCCCCGTGAGCAGACAGCCCTCACGCCCTGTGATCGGGCCGCCAGCCGCAGGAGCGCCTCTGCTCAGAGGCCAGACTGCGACGCGGAGAACAGACGCAGCCGAGCACCCAGCGGGCTCCGAGCCACCCTCATCTCCTCTTCCACAGTCGCCCACCCACTTCTGGGAAGTCTCCAGCCCAGAGTCAGGGCCCCACGCGGACCCTCCAACACCCGTGGACCTCCTGCTTCCTCGTTAACGGTCCTTCCGCCTCCAGGACCGTCCCCAGCGTCCTGCCTGTCCCGACCCCACTCAAAACTCGTGGCTCCCAAGACACTTTCCCTTAGGAGTCCTACATCGCGTCACAGTCAATAGGTTTAAGACTGAACCCATTAAAAAACAAAATAACAAACGAAAAACCTGCTTCCACTGCCCATTTCCGGCCTCTCCCCTTTCTCCATCCCCAACTCCAGAAACCCTGAAGTCACCTCCGACGTCCACCTCTCATCATCCCACATAGCCAGCCCGGAAGAGGTGACACCTCTCTTCTCTGCACCCCCAGCACACCAGTCCTGCAGTCCAGGCTCTCATCACCTCCCACTCAGCCCCTACAGCAGCCTTCCAGGTGCGCCTTCCTGTGCGGGTATTACGGCACTGTTAACATGCTACTCCGACACGCAGAGCGACTCGACTGAGTTTAAATGCCTTCCTATGGCCTTCGAGGCCCCCAAATACACCCCTAAATTCCCACCGTCCCGCACGTACCCTGCGAGAATCACTACCTCCTTAGTCACCACAGCTGCCTTCTCAGGTAGGGACTACTAACAGCCCCATCTCACAGATGAGAAAGCTGAGGCTCAGCAAGGTAGGTGACCTGCCCTAGATCTCAAAGCAGAGGCTGCATTCAAACACAGGCGTCAGACTACAGGGCTTAGGGCTTAAATTCTATAAAGCTTCCCACCCTGGTCAAGCCTGAGTCCAGACTAGCCCATTCAGGTACTGCTCTCCTGATCTGAAATGCTCTCTCTTCTCCCTACCAAACTATCCAAATCAAACCCAGCATTCATGGCTCACCTGTGTGTCCCACCTTCTCCATGAAGCTTTCCCTCGCTTCTCAACCTCTCATGGCTGCCCAGGCCTTTAAACCACTACAACATGTGTGGCCTGCACTACATAGCTGAGTGCTTGAAAATAAAGCATCAATCTACCCACATGGACACCAGACAGACACATGGTGCGCATTCAGAAAACATCTATTCGACTCAACTTTTATTAGTTTTCTCCGAAGTGTTCATGTAGTTCCCTCAAATTGGTGGTGAGATGCCAGGGAGCAGCGAAAGGGCTCCCCATTTCCCCATGCAACCCGGCCAGGTCAAGCACAGCTGCCGATGCAATCTACCTAGATAACCACGGCAGCAAGACTTCCTACAAAACCCTGCCAGCTCATGATCAGTGTCTCTCTTTTCTTCTCTTGAT